TATAAAGTTATTAAAGATATACCACCAAACGTAGCAGTAATTAAAAATGGTAAAAATGAATTAGTGCATAAAACCGCACGAAATTGTATATCTAATAATAAATAAAACATATTTTAGCGCTTTGTCTGACTATGTAATATAATATATATATATATATATATATATATATATATATACATATCTGATGTTCATAAAAATATATACCTATGTATGTATATTATTATTTTATAATGTAAGTGTTCCTAATATTTACAAAAATAAAATCTTTAATGTTATGTATGTATACATATAACATAAAAAAATAAAAAATCTTTATCAGAGTAATGTTTTAAAAAAAATGTATCCTTGTATTGTCACATGTTTCTTTTGAATGGGAGGTGTAGTAGTAGTAGTAAGAGTATATAGAAGTACACACACAAGTTCAATAATTATACCATATAATCCAATTTACTAATACAATAAAGCGAGCCTTATATCATCATCAGATTGTTGACTCATCTCCTGACATTCGCCCTAAAAGTTGCCACGTTTGACAGGCGGGCTAGCAACCGCAGTTTTATTATCGTTATGTGTTGTCAAGAAGATGTTGCTGGTCATCTCTTGTTTTAATTTCCCTCTGTCGCCAGTTGCGACAACCTCGGAATGATATGGAGTAGTGGATGCACTTCTGCCTCCACACACGGCTGTTTTATTTTTTTATAATTACCAATAATGGTATATGAAATATGTACTATGTCTCGACACAAGTACCGTACATACTATAAACATCATAATTATTATATCACATCTATACACAAAAAAGCACCTTGCACAGTTAACAGCCTTCATACATCGCACTGCCGGGCACTCATTTTTGCATAAATTTTTATATAAATTAATAATAAATACTAGTATCAAAGGAAATAATTTTAAACGCGTAAATACACTGGAAACAATTTCTAATTACATGATATTATAAAAAATTCATGTGATTTCATTTAAAATGCATTTGCATTATTTGATATGTGAAGTGGAATATTTAATTACATTTAAATCACTTTGTATTTTTTATCAATTTATTATGATAGTAATAATGGTTAGCTTACTGTTAGTAAGGTTACATACTTTATCCGTATAAAATTTTTGAATATTAAAGATTATACAAACTTTGTCGGCATATAAATAAGATGAACTCCATCTTTGACAGCCATAACACTTTTATTATATACCTTAACGGTAAATACATAAAAAATACAAAAATAATCAATATTATAGTAATTTTATCAATGCCAAAAACTATTTGGATTGCATCCAAAACACAAATAACGAAATGAATACTTTTTACTATACTAACAACCTATAATATAAAAATGAATCGCTGAATGTGTTGCTAAGCGCAAATCTCGAGAGCAGCTGAACCGATTTCGCTAATTCTTTTTTTATAATATTCCTTGAAGTACAAAGATGGTTCTTACTGAGAGAAAAATTAAAAAAAAATTGCCTGAAAAAGTCTAAAAACAACACTTTTCTATATTCCCATACAAAAGATTCGTAATAATACTTAAAAGTCAATTTGAACTTTAATACCATACCATAAAGGTTAAGTGTTAGTGGAGGGGTTCCGGGAAGGCAAAACAATTGCGTGACGTTAGTATCGTATAAACATTAATGTCAATATTTGTCGATATTTATACACACTGGCAGATAGCTCATGTTGTAAGGAGTAACTTGGGCTGCTTTTATTTTAGAGTTCCGCGAAAAATAACTCCACGCGGGCGAAGTCGCAGGGAACAGCTAGTATTTACATAAACATAAAGAACATAAGCAGAATTGAATTCATATCCTCGAACACATGTTGTTAAAAATAAAATCTAAAATTTCTGCAAAAGTGCACATGGTTCAAATACGTAATAGAATTATCCAAAAATGCATTTACGCACACGGTGCATCCCAACGTTTTGATGTCATTTTGATGATAGAATAAATAAATGTGTTATTATTTAAAACGATTAGGTAGGTAAGATATTCAAATCTTTCGCGGATCATATTTAAGTTCTTGTCGATCACTGGTTGGAAATGTTACTGTAATTAGCGTAATCTTGTGATCTGTTTTATACAACAAAATATTTCACATAATAACGAAATAGCGGGATTGTTCGTTATCTTGAATTTTAATTTTTTTTAAAAACCGTTAAAAGACCTTATTATTATTTCGGCATTATGAATCTCTCAACTAAAAATGTCTTATAAGAAAGCCGACTTTTAAAACATAGGAAAAGGAACATTGGTTGCCGTTAGTTTTACAAATGGGCACCAACAACAAATAGACTTGTGATCGTACCATAGGTTCGTACAAAGAAAAGTTGCGGAAGTTTAACCACTGGCGATCAATGCTGTTTTACGACTTCGTAACACGTCTAACAATATAACTACCTGATACCTAATGCGAATACTTAACTTTTTTAGGAAGTATAATATGGAGGAAATTAATTTATAATTTATAAATATATTTTAACCTTTAAGTAACTACTTTAATTTTCAATTCATGCATTCATAGCATTTCCAATCATTTTCAATTCACTTTGATATCGATTGCAGATATTCTTGGCAACAGTCAATGCTGTCACGTCACGGTTCTGGATGCGACAACACTAACTTGACAGGACGTTATTCAAAGGGCTTTTGCTGTCTCTATAAATAAGTCCTAGGTTTTAAAACCTAGTTGAAATTTTAGAGCAGATGGCAATATATGGTAAAATTGCTCTGTTTCCGTGGAAAAGGGCAAATCCTCGTGTGAAATCATTATATTTGTATAGAATATTGTATAAGCTTCATCATTCATCATTACAGCCCTTCACAAGTCAACTGCTGAACATAGGCCTCCCCCAAGGAATGCCACAAAGCACGGTCCTGAGTCACCTGCATCCATCGACTTCCTGCATATTTTACCAGGTCGTCACTCCATCTAGTGGAGGGACGCCCTACACTTCGCCTGCCGATACGAGGCTGCCACTCGAGAACCTTTCTTCCCCATCGGTTGTCGGTTCTTCGAGCTATATGGCCGGCCCATTGCCACTTCAGCTTACTAATCCGTTGGGCTATGTCGGTCACTCTGGTTCTACTGCGGATATCCTCATTTCTAAGTTTATCACGCAGAGAAACTCCAAGCATCGCCCTCTCTATAGCTCGCTGAGCGACCTTGAGCTTCCTCATCCGGCCAGCAGTGAAGGACCACGTCTCAGTTCCATAGGTCGTCACTGGGAACACGCACTGGTTGTACAGTATTGTTTTCAAGTTTTGAGGTATACCTGACGAGAATATGTGTCGTAATTTTCCGAACGCTGCCCGGCCGAGTTGAATCCGTCGATTGACCTCTCGATCAAAGTCAAGTGGACTTACCTAGGCGGACTTTTTGTCCCAGGTAAACATACTCGTCAACAACTTCGAACTTAGTGCTCCCAACAACTACCGGCATAGTTGTGACATGGACATTAAACATGAACTTTGATTTGTCCATGTTCATCTTAAGACCTATCCGTTGGGAAACACTATTGAGGTCATTAAGCATAGTGTGAGCATAGAGTGATGTGCTCGCCATTGATATTGATACCATATCCTTTCCAGTCCAGAAGCTTGAAAACGTCTTCCAATACAGCGGTGAAGAGTTTCGGCGATATAACGTCACTCTGTCTTACAGCTTTCTGCAGTTGGATAGGTTTCGTATTTTAGTTCTGTACGCGGACAGCCATCGCAGCTCTATTGTACAAACACTTCAGCACCGCTGAACAGACTGCAGCTACGCCCAAATTTCGACGGAATCAAAGGCTTTCTCATAGTCCACATACGCCAGACATAGTGGCAAATTGTACTTTAGTATTTTTAGTAATTTACCGAAGGGTATGTGTGTGGTCTATGGTGCTAAAGCCTTTTTGGAAACCGGCTTGTTCGGGAGGCTGAAAGTCGTCAAGTCTGCGCGCGAGACGATTTGTAATGGCTCTCGAAAACAGCACGTAGACGCGGCTCAGAAAGGAAATCGGTCTGTAGTTCTTCAAGAGAGCGTTGTCGCCTTTCTTGAAGAACAAGACCACCGCAATTTTGCTCCACGCCTCCAGTGTAATGCCACCATGGAGGACGGAATTAAAGAGCTTCTGAAGGACTTCAAGTACCGGTTTTCCACCCGCTTTCAGAAGCTCCACTGTAATTCCATCCTCGCCTGGGGCCTTGTCGTTTTTAAGGTGCTGGAGAGCTATTCTAATCTCGCTTAGACTGACGTCCGGTATATCATCGGAATATTGTCGGATAAGACTCGCTCTTGGATCGTTACTCAAACTTACTTGTGGCTCCAACGATGATGTGTACAGCTGCCCATAGAACCTCTCAATCTTACTCATAATCTCAGGTGTCGCGGAAACAACGCTGCCACATTCGGTCTTCAGCTTCGACAGTTGGCTCCGTCTGACAGACAGATCTCTAGCAAAGACTTTGGAGCCCTGATTCCGCTCGATTGCTTCTTCAATACGAGCAGTATTAAAGTTGCGTAATTCCCGCCGCATGTATTTGGAGATCTGTCTGTTCAGTTGCATGTATGATATCAAATCTACTGAAGACTGCAGCTTCATATCCCGTCTAACAGCCATGATATTAAGAATGTGATCGTGTGATGAGAGTTTTTGTGATCTTTTGCGGCGGGTCTTGCAAAACTTAGCTCCGACCGTATGGACAGTTTCCACAAGCTTGTCATTCATATCGTCCACTGCATTGCAATCTTCTAGGCACTGAAAACGGTTTCTTAGCTCAAGCTGAAAGGTTTCGGGACTTTGGATTAGAGCACGAGGGGGACGGAGCGTTGACTTCATTAGACGTGACCTCTCCAACTTAACGTTTAGGTTCAGTGTGCCTCTCACCATTCGGTGATCGCTGCCGGTTTTCACCCTCGCGATCACTGAGACATCACTTAACAGTTGTCGTCTGGTCGTTATAATGAAGTCAATCTATTTTTTTTTCGAACCGTCGGGGCTCGATCATGTCCACTTCCTGTGGGGCCGCTTCTGGAAGAATGAATTCATCATAAAGAGTCCCTCTTTCTCCATGAAGTCGGCCAGTTGCTGGCCCCTTTGATTCCGTTTCCCTATACCGAATTTCCCTACTTTCAGTTCACCGTTCTCTATTGTGTCTAGTTTTGCGTTGAAGTCTCCCATTAACACCGTATAGTGGGTTTTGGAGGAATGCATGGCTCTAGAGATATCCTCATACATTTCCTCCACCTCCTCATCGGGGTGTGCCGAGGTTGGTGCGTAAACCTGTATGACCTTCAGCGAATACCGTTTGGTGATTCTGAGTATAAGGTACGCAACCCTGGTCGACACACTCCCAATCTTTACAACGTTGTTAACGAAAGACTTGTGGACGATAAATCCGACACCTCCTTGGGACAGATGGTCGCCCTCCCGGTGATAGAGCTAGTTGCCAGATTCGAGGATTACCGTGTCCTCCCCCTCTTTTCGGACCTCTGATTATCCTATAATATGCCAGCGTAACTTGTCTATCTCTACTTCCAGCTCCACGATCTTCTCGTTAGTCCATCACGATCTTTAGGGTGCGTGCGTTATAAGTTGTCAGGTCGAGTCGTCTTAGGTGGCAACCAAATCTCTACCGGAGATTCTTAGCAACCCCTGCCCCGCCGTTACCACCGTAGCCAGGAATAGCGGGGACGCCGGGGACTGGGGGCGTCTCTTCGTTACTATCATGGGGGGTATATTGCCATAGTTGCCACGCTTGGCAAGCGGGTTGGCAACCGCAGTTTTTATTGTTGTTTTGCTGTTATCAGAAAATGCTGCTGCCTATCCTCTGCCTCAGTTTCCGTTTGTCGCCTCTTACGACACCCACGGGAAGATATGGGGTAGTGAGTATTCTTACCCGCCACTACACGGGGTTAAAGTAAATATTAGGAAGTAAATATTGTTAAATCTAAATTAGTAAATTCAATGTTAATAATTTGCATTTATATGGCACTAAAACAGAATGTGTGAAATTCATAACTCCAAATGTCAAACAAATGTAATTTTAAATGGGGAGAATCTGAGTCTTGTCAATACCACCATTAATCAATAATTTCTTGGAATCACACTAGACGGGAAGCTTTCATGGAGCCCCCATATATCAAAACTAGCAAGCAGACTTAGTCCTGCAGCATATGCTGTAAAAAAGATTAGAAATGTTACCAGTGTGGAAACAGGTTGAACTTGTTTAGAAAAAACTTGTTTAGGTACTTTAGTTATTTTCATAGCATAATGTCGTATGATATTTTGTTATGGTGACACGCGACTGAAACTAAAATTATTTATTTTTTTACAGAAGAGGGCCATAAGAGCAATCTATCATTTGAAACCTAAAGAGTCGCTCCGACAAAAATTTAAGGAAATTAATATATTAACTTTGGCCTCTCAATACATTTATGAAAATGTAATGTACGTACAAAAAATAAAAGTATTTTTACAAAAATAAATGATATTCATTCTGTAAATACTAGGAACAGACACAAGCTAATAGTAGGTGGTAACGTAAAAAATGACTGAAAAGGTAGTGGTGGTAAAGTAAAAAATGACTTTCAATAAGAATTACACATGTGATCTATATTGAATAAAAAAATATTCTATTCTATCAGTTACACCGAGTCAGTAATTCATTCTTGGGGCGATGTATACGCTTTTACAACAAAATTCCAGAAAATATACAAAATTTGACCTGCTCAAAGTTCAAACTATAATAAACTAAATTTATATAAAAATGGTTATTATAATATTAAGGAATTTATGGGTGATAAATAACTCTTGGTATTGCGGTAATCGCTACCAAGCTATTTCTAATTTGTTGTGTTGGAAATTGTGTGATATACCTGATTGTAAGCTTTTATTTACGAAAAAAAAGTCCCGCTGGGTTTGTTGCTGTTTCATCCCAGGACAGAGATTTATTTCGAACCAGTGGTAATTAAACAAAAGAGTGACTTTCAATAATATTATTTATAATCTATATTGAATAAAAAAGTTTCTGTTTATGTTATACATAAATCAGGAAGAATCTGTCTATCCTAAACCGATACATGTTATAACGTTTAGATATACTACGTAAAAGAATTATTCTCCCTGGTTGTATGCAGCAAAACCTAAAAGCAATCAATCATCATCTACATGAGCACTTAATATCAAGATTTTCAAAGTGAATAGAGACAGCTATTAATGGCAGAGGTATTTTAGGACCAAAATATATATACCGCATAGCCGTGGCGTAAAAAAATATAACTCTATTTCTTCCCGTCGGATTAATTCCAATGGTAAAAGACAGCTATAAGAAATGCCAAAAGTGATCTTGGCTTCTGACACTAAAAACGTTTCTAGGCCCTACGCCATAAGTATGGTTATTTTTTGTAAGCCCTAGATTTGCAATTCATAACTATTTATATAGGTTTAAATCTAGGTTGATGTCAGATTGAAGAGATTGAAGCTGTTAAAGTTCACTGCTAGACATTGGCTTCTACCATTGCAGTCAGGATTTGCATGAATTGACACGCATGGCAGAAGGAGGGATCGTAGTACTAGACGTATCACATCTTCGTTACTGCTTTCCGTCTCCGGTTTAGGTATTTAATTAAATCAATGCGCTTGCCAAGCGTGGTGACTAAGGCAAATTCTCCCTACTACTGGAGAGGCACGTGTTCAGTAGTGGATTTTATTACGAACTGATGATTACGACGACGTAATGTCAAAGTGTTTAGTTATGTCAATCCAACATACTGTTATATTTATTTATACCGTTACTAGCGATCCGCACCGGCTTTGCTTGGCTGATTTTTGGATATCGACAACAGCGCCACCTAACGGGTTCAATTGTGAATCTAATCTATCGAGAGACACAAACACACAAATAATTTCATCGAAATCGAGTCATCCGCTTAGGAGGAGTTCAGGTACAAACAGGTTTAGTCACGAATACAAAAGTTACCAGTAATTACAATATTGTTAAATCCTGATTAGAACTTATATCTTGTAATATTACTTTCATCGAAGAAAGATATTCTACGCGAAAGAAACTGTGAACATAACTATTACTGAATGTTAGCACAAAAAAGAGCAATGGAAAAGAAATTGTATGATACAAGAAATATTTAAGAAATTCTATAACTACGAACATCAAACTTGTAAAGAGGTTGTAATGGTCCTAAAGAGAGCCATTACATAACGATAGTTGTTCAGTTACACATACTAAAGTTTCTTCCCTTCTGTTTTGATATTGTAAATCATGAAATAAAAGTGTTCGCATACGGAAAGAAAATAAATGTGTAATCTTTATATATAAAAATTACGTGTCACATTGTTTGTCCGCGATAAAGTCCTAAACTATTGAACTGATTTGGTCCAACTTAAGAGATAGGATACTTTTCATCTCGATAAGTAATCTTCAATATTTTTCTATTGCGAATTTAACAATTTTTTCATAGGAAGGGTCGTCGGAAAGGGCAGAACAACGTCTGCCTGGCCAGCTAGTATTTATATATTTATTATTAGTATTTTAGTTTTTTTTTATTATAGTTTTTGAATATATTGTATATATTTTATATATTAAAAATATTTAATAAAATAAGTCCTGAACATACTGAATAATAATGTACTTAATTCTGATGGCTATTGGACTTTTGCTTATTTTTAATGTACTATGTACTCGGGGATGAGTCGCTCGCGTCCGTAGTCTTCGACCACCTAATCCTAAGCCCACCCTACATGTCTCCCCCGGGTGGTGCTAAACGAGCGACAAAGCCGATAGGATAGACTCGGCTCCTCGCCGTAGGGTAACGGCGTAAAATCTACCACCGCTTAGTTCGCACCATGAGCCAAAAAGAAAAAGAAATGGCCCCGAGTTCCCGGCGCCCCTTTAATGGGGTAAGGGTGCGAAGAATCTCCGGGAGAAAAACCGGCGACGAGGTTCGCCACCCGTCACGTCCTCTCTCCCGAAGGGGCGAAAAGTGGATTGCGGAGGCCCGTCTGGCTACGTTGAATGTATGTGGAGCAATGAATGATAAGATGGATGAAGTATGCGAAATGATGAATGATAGAGGAATAGATGTGTTATGTGTAAACGAGATGAAACGAAAGGAAAGAGACGTCACTGCACATGGCATGTATAGCGCTTACTGGTCTGGAGTAGACGAGGCCGAGCGGGCATGCCAGGGAGTCGGTGTCATCCTTTCAGAAAGAGTGGGTTAATGTATGAAAGAGTATGAATATGTAAGCCCAAGGCTGCTGTAGATACGAATGAAAGTGGGCTTAAGGAATTTGTTTGTGCTAGGGGTGTATGCCCCAGATATGTCTAAACCCACTTATATCCGAGAGCAGTTTTGGGTTATGGTAAGGCTGGTGTTGGTGAAATGTAAGGAAAATGAAAATATCATTATGTTAGAAGATTTCAATGGAAAGGTTGGGGTGAACAGGTCTGGTTATGAAAGGATATTAGGAAAGTTTGGCGATGAAAGAATAAATGAGAATGGTGAAGACCTACTCACCGTATGTGTGGAAAAGAATCTTTATGTGGCGAACACTTTCTTTCGCCATAAGAGGATTAACATGTATACATGGGAAAGAGGGGATGATAGAAGCATGATAGATTTCATAATTGTGGATGAAAGAATGAGGAGCGCAGTGGTAGATACAAGGGTTTACCGGGGGTCCAACGTAGGGACGGATCATTACTTGGTCTTATGCCGAATTAATGGTCTATTCAGACGTTGGCGGCATCGGACATCTGTGTCTACCACTGCGTTACAGCGTATAAGAATGAAAGGAAAAAGGAAACAAAAAGGTTACAAGATGAAGGTGTGAAAGAGAAATATAAATGCAGACTGAGGGAAAATATAAGTGGGTTGAATGAATTATGTATGATGATTTAAACTTGAAGAATGTATGGAATAATATTAAGAAAGTTTTGATGGATGCAGCCACCGAAGTATGTAGTGTAATTAAGAGAACGAATGAAAAGAAAAGTAATACGTTGTGGTGGGATGATGAGGTACCGATGGAAGTTGAAGCAAAGAAGAGAGCATGGCTAGATTTATTAGCAACTAAAGCTGGTAGTTCTGGAGGTATAAATGATGAAATGGAAAGAAAAAAGTCAGACTTAAGTTGTTGAAAGGAAAAAGCAAGAAAGGATAGATAAGAATGATAGAAGGATATCTGATAACTTCTAGGCAAATATTAAAATGTTCTAC